TGAGAGCACATTCGACGCCGGAACTCGGGTCGCTTCGAAACCGGCGCAGGGCCGTATAAATACTGCATGAAGTTTCTCGTGAAAAACGGTCTGTTATCGCGAATTTTCATATGTATGTGTGTAATTCGTTCATAATTATTATATTTTTGAAATATCAATATTTTGTGAGAAATATTTGATCAATATTTAATTGTTAAAAGTTCCTTCCTTTTAATTAAAATTACTAAAGGTGTATTGCAACACCGGTAATATTCGCCTGTTGCATTATAATAATTTAATGATGATTATAAAACACAGATATATAATTCGATACGAATTGTTATGGCAACTAGAAAAGCTCGTTGGCGCAAAACGTAAAAGAAGAAACGGTGGCTAACTAGCTAGCGGACAGTCGCGATGCGAGGTCGATCGCGAGTCCTTTCATGATTGAGAAAAGACCCCACGACTATTATATCCCGGAGGGCGAAAGAGCTGCCGTTTTATTCACACTACCGTATCGATTTCAACTGGCCTTTCGAGAGACTTCGGTATACAGACTTCACATACAGAATATTTCTGTGCCTATCTGATACTTAGATTGCGTTCCGAAATTCATTGTCATTAATGAAAATCTATATTTATAGTATATACGTAACACAAAGTGTAAACTTTTAATATTGACAGTGAATTTCAGAACGCAACCTCAGTCGAGACACGAGAAAAACACACTCCCTCCCCCCGTTTTTACTCGCGTCCTTAACATTTTTAATCGAATGCAAACCGACCGATCTTGCGTCCGCCTGTTTATTCAACGCGATTGAGAAACATTATCTCAAACCGTAAGGAGTGCCTGCACGGAAAAATGAAATATTGTAGTTACGTTTTCCACCGAGTGGAAAAGCAAATGAGTGGAAAAGCGAACGCAGCACGGAAGATGAGAAGTAAATTACCCAAAGTGGTAAGTTTAATTAACGACCGCGACTCGTGCGAAATAACGAGAGCGCTCGCAGCGTGCGATAACACTGATCGCTAATTGTTACTAAGGACAAATTGGCCATCACCTCGATCAGAATTTGGCGCTGCAAGCGTGATTCGGCGTGTGGGAGGAGCGACACGTAATCCACTCCTGCGTTTTGCCCGACTGTCCGGGTTTTACTTTGGCTCACGCTAAAATCGCATCTCGCAAAGATGAAATTATCAGCTGGAGAATTTCCCACGCAAAGGAGTTGCAGAGTTGCGCGCATTCGTACTGATGCTGGACAAAGACACAAGACGAGACACCCGACGCGATGAGATCGCGATCTCGATTATGCATCGTCGAGCTTTAATCCAGCTTTTGTCCGCCCTTGTACGAGAGTGCCGATTAAATCCTTCCGCTTGATTTTTCGCGAAACGCACAGCACGGCGTTCTGCGCGATCATACTTCACTCTCCTATAAACATCAACGAATTATATTACGTAGTTACATCAACTTTTCGCTAATGGAATTTGTTGATCTCGATTTTTTTTCATTCAATTTGACTCGACTGCACAATCGACGCGACAAAATTCGCCTGATAATCAATCTTTTCATCCGAATTTCTTTCCTTTCAGCGTATGTCACGCAACTTCTATACAAAACGGGGTGCGCAACGATTGGCAAATCTTCGTTTCTCCGCAGATGTGTCCGCAGCGCAGGCCAACAAATCCGCCTATAGATTTACAGTTTATTGACTCACCATCGTTATAGCTTATCCTGCGATGTAACACGGGAATATAAGCGGGTTTTGCCCGCGATGTCATTCGACGGCCGTTCCAGACGACAGTTCCAACGAGTCGTTCCATCGAGTTCGAGCCGTCGTTTATATTCCTGGAAACAGCCACCGGAAGATTAACACGGACGCTTGCCAGCGATACAGCCGCGGGGATACATCGTTCCCGGGGTCGTGACGAAAATCGGACCGGGGAGTATGTATGACTCATCGCGATTTACGCGACGATCGATATCATTTCGCGGAAGTTAATGATGAGCGTTATTATTCTTAGCGATGATTCGCGAGAAACCGTGAAATGACGCGGGGAATCGACCTCTGCGTTTCTCCGGGCTACAAGACGACGAGTGAAACGATTGAACCTCACTCTCGAATGGGGAAAAAAGAAAAAGTAATTTTTCGCATCCCTGTAACGAGTTCAATTCGCTCGTCGAGTGCAAGCTTTCGCCGAGACACCGGATAAGTAGGATGAGATAAATTTTCCCATCGAACGCGTCTGCGGCGGAACTGGGAGTTTTATCGAGTTCGATCACAGTGACAGATGCGACTGGTCGAACGAAGGAAAAACCGGATTAATCGGGTGTACTGCGCGTAGAACTTTTCTCCCGCCTTCTCGGAGGGGGGTGGAGAGGGGGGGGTGCACATTTCGAAGTCCATTAATCCATTAGCGGTCCATATGCCATTTATGAAACGCTTCTTTTTTATTGAACAAAATCACTTGATACGTAGTAACTTGATTTATGTTTTCAGCGCCTGATTTCCCTTGTTGTTGTTGATTTCCTTGACTTCCCTGAGTTATATCTTTATCTTCAATGAAGATAACTTTTCAATACTAACTTGCGATTTTTCCCTGGGAAATAAACAGACAAAATCGTTTAATAAAAAATGTTTTTGAAATAATTAAGGCCTCAGTGGGTGAAAATCTTGGACACGTCGAATGAATGTTCGCGGGGGACGCGTGATGTTTTAATATAATTACATAATCTGACGCGCATACGACTTCGGCTGATGGCGAAATTATTCTGATTCATCAGGCAGAAAAAATGAAAATCCGGATGAGAGGAATAATCAGAAGAGAGCGGTTAATCTCGTTAAAATTACAGTCATTTTACGTATCAACATTTTCATATCTTTTTTATTATTCTGAATACAAGGAAGTAATAGTGAGAATATGCACGTAATTATCGAAGATAATTATTATCGCGATGTAGCGATAGCATTTGTTGCAAAAATGATTTTCTCGTCTATAATTGTTTCCCCGTGCAATTATAGTCGCAAATGGCAAGCGTTTCTTTTTTTCTTTCAGTGTAAGCAAGTAATAATGCGGAAATTTCGAGAACGCCCTGCGAAAGCAGGCGAACGCGTTAAATAGCAACGCACGCAGTCGCGCCCGATGCATATCTCCACTTCATTGGCAGTAGAAACGCGAAAATATAGTCGGACAGTTGTAGTAGAACCGATGCCGCGTGCGCGCCTTGCCGTGACATGCTTTTTCTGCCTTACACTTCTGGAGGAAGGGGAGGAAACGCGGAAAGCGCGTTATTGTTTCGCGCCTTTATGCGCGTTCTAACAAGCTCGTAACACCGCGCGATTACAAGTCGTAATACGACAAAGCGTTGCGCGGAAATAACGGCGACGGTGATGATTCCACGTGCGATTCTTCACATCGCCTCGGATATGTCGGAGAAGTTCCAACGAAGTTCCAACGAAGAATCGAATTAATCTACCGCGATGTGTCTCGGGTCGACTTCGACGACATACGTGCCAGCTCAAAGGGTTGAATCTCGAAATAACAGGTGACTCAAAAAATACGGTCCCGCTCGCACGGCACCGTGTGACGTCTATAAATATATATCGCTTTCGCACCGATTCACTATATTTATTCCGCGGAGCGCAACGGCCTACTGGGATTGCTGGGCAATATATATGCGCGAAAGTATCGCGATTTCTGATTCAATTTGTACGATACATCGCGCCCTGTCTCTTTCGTCGAAGTTCGGCGTGAAAATAAAACCGCAAAGAGCCCGCTTGAAATAGCCGCTCTCGGAATTATCAGCATCGACGAAAGAGAAAAGATAAAGTGTCGTACCGCCTCTGCCCCCTCCCCTTCTCTCCCTCTTTTCCGGCGACAAAAATAACCGCAAAAATTTTGCGGCGTGACTCGGTAGTGACTTTAAAAACTGCTGAGTGTTAAACTTTGGACCGAATAAATTCGCTCATGAAACCGTAATAAGTCTCGCTTAGGTTCGTTCAAACTTACGATGTATCGTTCGATTTGAATATCTTTCTCAACGACTTTTCATAAGGAATACGACTGCTCGCGATTAATTCAGTTTGCGACAGATCTTAAAAATATGTTTTAAAAAGTATTAAAAGTATTAAATTAACGGTTTGACGATTAAGGAAGTATGTTAAATTGCACGAACCTTTCGGCCGAAAAGAACACGAAGTGAGAATACGCGGAAGTTGCTGCGCAAACGACCAAGCGCCAATCCGAATAGTGACGCCATCTGTCGCGCAACTTCGGAACTACTTGCACTTATCCCCGTAAAGCTTCATTTCCACTTGAACATTTAGAATTACGATGCGAGATTATTTCAAGTGCGATGTACATACAATGTGCCGGAAGTACAGCAGGTAGCGAAAAGATCGCGAGGCGTTTCGAAATTCGTTGCATCTCCGAACAGGTGGAAAATCTTGCGAGGTCATCCCGCAGACCAGAGCCCACATCGAAAACCGAGGGCTGCGAATTCAAGATGGGAACTCGACTAATCGGGACAAAGGCCGAGCCGAGATCGAAATTGATTGATTCATCGAATTCTGATTTCGGCAATCCTCAGTCTCCCATTTAGTCCAGAAATCGACCTAGCGATTGTCATCCACCCCGGAACACACATCGAAAAAACAGGCGCGGCATCGTTTTCCCCGCTGACAATAATCAGCCACAGGAGCGATGAGTAAAAAACACCGTCCGGTTTGAAATGTTCTCGAGTACGAGTGCATTTCGTTCGCGCGTCATCCACGCGCTCGCAATACCTGACGGAACCGAGGAGGAGTGAGAGAGAGAGGAAGACGACGAGCCGGAGAGGAGAGAGTACAGAGAGTGCAGTTGGCGCTCGAAAAAGACGTTAGGCGCGCAGCGTGGACGCAACCGAAGTTCAGGAGCCACGGCTCGGCGCCGGCGGGCCAATCGGGGCGCGCGTCACGGCGCGCGAGCGTCATCGCGCTGTGACCTTGACGAAACGAACGGCTGGGTTCCCGGTAGGCGCCCGTAAAACGCTTCGGAGAGAGACAGCCAGCTTCGGGGGGCAGCGCGCGTTCCGTGTCGCCCATTGTTATCCTCGTCCGCGTGTAATGGCCACCGCGTACGTTTGTTGACTCGCCGTAACGTTCGCCATCTCGCGTTCCCGGCCTACCCTGTGCCCACGGTGACGAATCTTCTCGCGCAGAGTTGTGCCCGGCCGCGAGGATCCGCGTCGGCAAGTTTTATGCCGCCGCCGTCGAGGCGGGCAGAGAGCGAGCGAGAGAGAGAGAGAGAGCGCGAGCGACGGAGGGAGTGAGCGAGCGAGAGAGAGAGAGAGAGAGAGAGGAGACCACGTACGCGACGAGGAACGGTCCGCGCGCTTCGCACCTACTACAGCCGCCGCCAACCGCCACCGCGCCGCTCTCCACGCACCCGACCATGATTTGCGCGGGCGAACGCTGCCCGTTGACAAGCGTGTGACTCCGCGAACGTGACTGTTGGCGCGCACTCGGAGCCACCTTGGAGCGCGCGTGCCGGCCCCACGAGAGAGGAACGAGAGAGAGAGAAAGAGAGGCGAGGGCGCGAAAAAGCAGCGCGCTCCGCCGTCGCAATTTCGAGTAGCGCGCGGGGCCCGCCAACGCCGCCGGGATTCAGCACCGGGAGGTAGCCCAGCGAGGAGAAGCGCGCTCTCGTCGAGATCGAACGCCATTGATCTCGCCCGCGAGAAAGAGAGGCACCACGGCCCCAAACGACCGTGCTCCAGCTACTGAGAGAGAGCGTCGCGCGCTCGTCCACGGCACGAGGAGAACACGTTCCTCCTCCTGCCGCTCCTCGCCTCGATTCTCCGCCGCCGCCGCCTCTTCCTCCTCTCCTCTCCTCCTCTTCCTCTTCCTTCTTTCCTATCGTTCCTTCTTCGTCGCGGATGCTGGACAAGGCGCGCGCGCGCGCCAACGTATGCCGACGGTGAGGTCCAGATTCGCCGCCGTGTGTGATCTCCAGCCACGAAGCGGGACATCATCGTCGCGGACGACGCTCGGTCGCGCGCTGAGCTGCTGCGCGGCAGTTCGCGCCGCCGTCATGGCAACTAAAGGATTATCGGCCGCTCGGCAGCCGGACGTGTAACCCCGCTGCGTGCACAACCATCACGTGTGAGTATGTTTATATATACGTCCGCTTTCGCGCGCGCCAGCACCGGGCGAACGAACGAGCGTGCGAGCGAGCGAGCGAGCTACGCGCGATCGTTCCCGTCGTTTCTATTCCCTCTCGTCTTCGCGCGCCGCTTTCCCGCTCTGCGTTGATCATGCCTGTAATCGTACTACCGTAACCCGGCGTGTCTCTGTCCTTCTTTCTCTCTGTCACACATTCTCTCTCTCTCTCTCTCTCTCTCTCTCTCCTCGGGGAAATCGTTTCTCATTCGCGCTGTGTATTTGTACACATCACGACTGTGTACGTTCCGTATCGCAGAGAGTATCGCCGTTCGCGTTGTGTCTCTGTTACGTTGACGCTCGTTCAAGTTTGTAACAATCATCTATTGATTGTTACAGGGTCAAAGGCAACACATCAATGGCCCTAGAATCAAATGGCAACAACGTGGTCTGGTTGAACACAACCCGTCCTGATCAAATACAGCAGGTATGCGTCGCGCGTAAGACAAAGAATTTCTGATATGGGGATGATTGCGTTATAAAGCGTTGAATCGATCTCACCGGGTCCATAGTATTCTGATAGTATTCCGGTTGATCCTCTCTGTCTGAGTTGAATCAGACATAGTGGATCCACCGTGGCCATCATCCCCCTCCATCCCTCACTCTTTCTCACTCTTCAGTACTGTTGATGTAATCATCGTCTGATGGACTTTTCTAATTGACAGAGTCAACCGATTGAGCAGCCATTGAAGTGTTCCATGTTTACTCAAACGGAGCAATCTAATAGTTTTACTCAGACAGAGCAAAGCAATTCGAGTTACGCAGACCAACGACAGGTACATCCTTAGTTTATCCTCCGGCAAAATTCGTAGATACGAAAGATTGCAATTCTGCAAACCGCTCGTCGCCGTCGAGAGGTCGCGCCGGATCAATCGACATGAAGCTGCATCTCGATCGATAGGAATCGATATCGATTCGATGCGATCTCAGTGGCGGCGTGCGGTCGCAACAATAGAGATCTGTTTTCTGTTCCTGAACTAGGTTGCACTTTTTTACCGTTAGAGTGAGATAAGTAAATAACTCGGCAGTGAAGGAGGAAAAAGGAACGAAGTTCCTGAGTTGTAGCCTGAGTTCAGGAAAAGAAAACAGAAACGTCAGGCTTGTTTTTCTTAGCTGAGTAAATGAAGCCAGTGCTGAGGAATTGGGAATTTTGTTTCTCCTCTCTTCAGTACTAGGTTATACACATGGTTCGCTGTGAAGGTGCAACCTAGTTTTCAGCTAAGAAAGAACAAACCTAACAAGAATATCAATGAGCTTGCTTATCTCCCGGCAATGATTAACTTAGTCGAATGATGTCTTTCTGCAGCAGCAAGCAGCAATGTTTGACCCTCAGCAAATCCAGCAGCAGCAGGCTGCGCAGAGTCAGCAGTCGCAGCAGCAACAGTCGCAGCAGATATATGTGACGTCAGACAAGAAGGAGGACAAGTCTCAGCAGCAGCAGTCCGGCACCGCTGACGGTTTCCCTTCTTTCTACTACAACGTCAACATGCTACAAAAGGTTCAGACAAACGCGGTGAGCACAATCAGTGCGATCGCTGCCGACGACAAGGCTTGTTATCGTTTCGATGTGCAACCTGTCGGTTATAACACAATATTGAACCAGATGAGCATTGCCGCTGCTACCAATGCGACCTTCAAGTGTGACATTTGCGGGCTAGTCTTCGGCCACATGAGTCTGCTGACCCACCACAAACGGATTCACAACACGACGCCCAGCAATCTACAGCAGCCGCAGCAGCAGGTTGTGGTACAAACGCCGACAACAGTGACTGTCGCAACCACGCCGGACAGACCGTACACTTGTGACGTTTGTGGGGCGTGCTTTGCATTACCGGGAGAATTAAAAAGTCATAAAACAAACATGCATCAGAAACCTAAGGTGCAAATTTGTGAAGATTGTGGCAGTGAGGACCCGTGCGAACATCACCCGACTAAAATTAAAAAGAGTATGTCCTTTAAGCAATTAATTTCAACCCGTAGTCTCAGTGTTCGGTGATATACATTCGATGGAATGCGAGTTGGGCACTTGTAACGACCTTGCAGCTCCGCGAAATTCGCACACGCACACTCGCGCGATCCGTTCTGTCTCACTACAGGTCGATCAATCAGTCGAGTCTAAATCCTCGTCTTCGCGGACGTCGCGCTCTAGCTGTCTTAATGCTCTGTCCCTAACGCGGTGTATCCGCACTCGTGCGGATACCGAGGTCTATTCAAAGAAAGAAAAAAATATGCATTCGTTTGTGTAGCTATCAAACCTGGTCATCATCCGGTGAAACGGAGGGGTGTTACCAGTGTCACCAAGTGTCACAAGTGCAACGGCACGGGAATTATTTTTATAGGTAAGTATCGACTTTCGATCACTCTGATTGGGTGTCACTTGATATATACCGCTGATAGGCCTGCAAAAAAAGATGTTGCTGATAAAGCGCGCGGCGTTGTTTCACCTACGGGGAATAAATACGAATGCTTTGGTGCATTTACGTGGCTCTTCTGTGTTCGATGTACGATTGCATGCGCATTACCAGCAACATTCTGTTCAAACCCTGTCACATCCCCTCCCGTCCCTCATACATATCATTTGCTATATCATGATCGTACATCGGGTGGTGATGTATGGTAGGTAAACACGACGATAAAAATTCCGGAATCAATTCCCTCGCAAAGTGTGGCGGTTGCAAGGCTACAGGCCGCATCATCATAGGAAGTAAGTCGGATATAAATTACCGTCGAGAAACAAGTATGAAATCTGTTTTTCGATTAATACGAATAATATCGTGTCTGTTTTGGATGGTGACAGTTCCAAATTTGTTCCCCCGCGAAGCGCTACGTACTTGTACAGTTTCGTTAATGCTTGAGGTGATGTGTCTATCACTTGGAACACGGCCGTTACGTTTTCTTTTCTATGCGATGAAGGTTTCAAATTGATGTTACTTTATAGAGATTCTCACATATTGGCGTTTAAATGATATTAATTTGTACTAATCGGTCGAGAGGCACGTGCGTGTCAAAAGCACTCGAGACCCGCGAAATTTTTCGTCCTGAATCTCTGTTAGTTACTTCGATATTTTCGCCTGCATGTTTTATCGTAGATGCAATATATTTGTTACTATGCGCTCCCTTTTCCGTTCTATTATTATTATACTCGATATACTCGCTATACTGTTGTGTCAAGTTTTGAATTAGTTGTGGTTATCCTGCTTTGCTGTTATTTTCTTTTCCTTGGTTTTTAGTAGAACTGTCGACATCTAAACTTAAGGACAATCGCACAGAATAAAATCTCCCCTAAGGGACAGTTTTATAAATCTCTAAATTGTCGGATTTTACAATATTCTTTGTACATAAGACAAGTTGTTGTTGAATTTTCCGCTTAGCCGTTCACAGTTCTTTCTCTTTATTTCATGATACAGCCCGTTAGAGAAATTATTTCACCATGTTTCACGGAATCGGTCACGTGATAGAGACAAAGCCGCAGTTTTATATCGCTTGTGGCATCCAGAGATTTTCTCATAGTGCACTAACTTTTATGATAATGCATGGTCGAATTGCTTTACACGAACGTTAATTGATCGTACATTTAATTATTTCCATTTCATTTTTCATAACTTCATGTTTCGTGTGTACATTTGTATCCCTCACTTTCGGATGTATCGGGAAAAAAGAAAACAAAAGACAACAGATATCAATACCGCAAACAAATCTACTGTTATCCGCGTTCATAGAGTAAAACTACGAGCATATCATTTTTGTAGAACTGGCCCTTCGAGGAAAACTAAAATCTTGTTTATCCTTTCAATTTCAGGCGGCAAGCAAAACAGTCAGAATCAGGCGGAGAAACCATTTCATTGTAACGTCTGTGATGGCACATTTTCTCGATATTCTTCACTCTGGTCCCATAAGAGACTTCATACGGGAGATAAGCCATTCAAATGCGAAGTATGTGGCTTAGCATTTGCTAAGGGTAAGCAAGCCAAAACGAGACCGTACAAGTCGTAAGAGATTACGAAATATATATTCGACTCCTCTCTGTGTGTACGCTAAATAATTAATTGATAAGAGCGAACTTGTTTCACAGTGTAAAATCCTTTTTTTTTTTATTACTTTCCCCGCAGCCGCCTACCTGAAGAATCACGGACGGGTTCATACCGGCGAGAAGCCGTTCAAGTGTAATGTCTGCGGAATGCAATTCTCGCAGAGTCCGCACTTAAAAAATCACGAGAGAATCCATTCCGGCGAGCGACCGTACCAGTGCGAGGTTTGCGAAAAAACGTTCGCCAGACATTCGACGCTGTGGAATCACAGAAGAATTCACACCGGCGAGAAGCCGTACAGGTGTAATATCTGTGGTTCCGCCTTCAACCAAGCCACTCATCTCAAAAACCACGCGAAGGTCCATACCGGTGAAAAGCCACACAGGTGAGAGAAAGAGAGAGAGAGAGGGAAAGAGATCGCAAAGTTTATCTTCGATTCCGAGTTTTTATCGCACACGGTTCTTCTCCATATTAAAAATACGTCTCGTTCCTCCAGGTGTGATATATGCGAGATTGGTTTCTCCGATCGTTTCGCGTTGAAACGCCACCGTGCGATCCACGAGAAGTACGGTCAAACGGCGCGTAACCAGAATGCGAATAACGCGGCTAACGCACAACAGGCCAACGCGAGTAGTCAGCAGCAGCAGCAGCAACAACAACAACAGCCGCAGCAGACGCAGCCAGGCCAGGTCGTGGTAGTGAATGCGACCACTCCCGTCACCGTCAGCCAAGGGCAGGGTCAAGCAGTGATGCTCGAAGAGGTCTACAAGTGTCAGGTGGCCTTCCCAGAGCCTAAATGATTCAGCTAGAGAATACTTTTCAGGAGCTGGTAAAGAGGTTAACTTTTTTAACCCTTTTCTAAACAAATATTAATCACTCGAGAAGAGCGAAAAAAACAACACACACGTATGAATGTATAACACAGTTCGATACGAACTGTATCTGTGAAGAGAGAGTGTGTCCGAAGTGACCGAGTGGCGCATCTCTTCCTTTTCTTTTTTTATTTTTATTTTTTTTTTTCCTTTTCGTGTGCGACGACTCCGGTTTCTGTGGAAGAATATATGACGACTGCTTGGTAAATAACTTCGATTTAGATGGATAAAGATTGGAATGGATGAGGATGACAATGAGAAAAACTAGACTCTGCGACGACGCGTTACGCGAGTGAGAAATTTCGTGGAATGTGTGTGTGTGTGTCCCCGGAAGAGTTCGGCTCGTAAGATAATCGGAAGCCTCCCAACCGCCAAGATCAACGAAAATTCTCTTGTGAGAAATAATAGAGAAATGTATCTACTTTATATATTTTGCCATTTCGCGCGAACAGTGTAAAGAGGTAATTGGATCGTATCGCGGCAAGTTTCGCATATACTAGTTAACGAGTTAACCAGTTAAGTTTCAGTATGTGATACATACGCTGAAACTTGCAATACGTTAACCAGTATATACAGGACATGCAATCTTCGCTCTTTCTTACTTACATGTAATCATCGGTTTGTTCGTGTAAATGAGATAGCTGGACATCTTGACTGAGTATCACGACGTATCGCGACACGACAGTGTGCAATAGCTGCAGCAAATTTTACTATTAGACCGACGAAGTGTACTTCCTACCGATTGTAATAACGACGGATTGCGACGGCGTTTCGAGTACAAGTGAAGTATCGAATATTTCTACGACAACTCTGAGATATACGTGGCACATTTCCATTCGTAAAAGAAAGAAAGAAAGAGAATTGAAAAACGGAAGAAACGACTGTTCGTACATTACCCGAACCTCGGCCCTTCTCGATATCACAGTGGGAATAAGCCTTGAAAACTTTTTCTCGTTAGAATCTTCGTTTGATTTCGTTCGTATAATCCGACCTTATCCGACAAGTGGACGCGACTGTGAATACGGATAGTCGACGAAGAACGGAGAATTTCGAATAGCGCCTTGGGGGAAAGCGTGGAGCGGGAACGATCAGTGCGAGCCCTCTTCCGTCCAGTCATTCGGGAACAGAAAAGCGTTGCATTACTGAGATGACGACAGCGACCGCGATAACGACAGCACGAGTACAGTGCAAAGGTATTTTTTAAGTATCGAGATACCTAGAACTCGCTGAAGCTGCAATAATAATGACGAATATCGTTGGGCAGACTAATCCGTTTTATAATTTTAAGACCGCGAGCTATATAAATATATCAATTAAAGGATAGTTGATAGTTTATAACGACAAGTAGTCGGCTAGATATTATCTATACACACATATAAATGTAGATATACGTGTGTGTATGTATATGTACACCCACACAAATGTATACATACACACGCACACACGTATAACACACATACATTAATTTTTATATCCCCACTTGTTAAAGCGATCGCGCACCATCGCTACTTTTAAGTATCAAACAACAACAAAGCAAATAATTTGTATATTAACGGCTCCATACATCCACGATCGGTGGCTTATATCGTGCGGTAAAGCCAGGATGTATCAAGATATATCTGGCGCATTGCTTTCGAAACTATTATTTGGATACCCTTTCGAGCACCAATAGAGAGCTAGATTTTGCGCAAACCGTTTCGGTTTTTTGAATCCGCAAACATTTCCTTTTATCGTTATTTAATTATTTTCGCGTACTTTAGTAGCAAACTTCTTAACGAGCCAATTATCGTGTAAAACACACCGTGTCTGTTTCTCGGTACAATTTTTTTCCTTTTTTTGGTATAATTTTAGAAAAAGTTTTACTTTCAATTGCGTGAGAGCCGGACGAAGACGCGACTCGAGGGTGTACACTGGACAGTTCTTTTTATACGTGAGACATAGATTTATCATACGTGTTCGCGCCGGGAGTATTACGAGGTACGCAATTATACTCGTCATTATACGACACCACAGTCAATTCTACGCGATCGCGTCGGTGAACTTCGCCCGAAAGTCTTACACGGAATCCGAAATTGGGGATTTCTTTGTTTTACTAATCCAACATGTAAAATAAAGGTACACAATCATATAATTTTACTTTTATATGATCATAATACCTGTTACAGTATTTTCAATTAGAATAGAAAGTTTATGAATTTCTTACCCCCCCCCCCCCCCC